CGCATAATTTAGAGGCCTTGTGGTAGTTAATAAAAAAAGTAGAAAATAACACCAAAGGAAAATGGTGAAGGCAAATTAAACACAGCTTGTCAAAAAACAGCGTAAATTAGCATGATGTCGGCAAAAAAAGATATCATTAAGAAACAAGGAGGGAAAACGCGCAGTAAACGGCGTTGCCACTGCAGGGCGCAACAGATGCCGTTGTCGATACCGCTGTTCTTGGTGTCGTTTTTTATTGAAGCCACTGCTCTTGATGGTGCTGTCAAACGGTTGCTGGTTGCTGCTGTTGACGCCACTGCCAGTGTTAATGTTGCTGTCCCACTTTTGCTAAACGCACTTTTTTACGTTGTCATTGTTGACAACGCGCGCCGAGGTTCATGTCCTATTTGGTAGTGTAAACGTATACGCTCACTCGGACCCGTTGCCAGTATTAATTTTGGGTTCATCAGTTGTATTGGGGCTAACTTAATACCTATTACAGTTCATGCCGTGGTGCACAAGCATAGCCACTGGATGTCTCTCAACCTTTGACAATGCAAACTAAGCGTGACATTCTGTCACATACATTTACGTCACCCCTCGTCGCGGCAAAATTCGGTGTAGGGCCCCGCAGACACGCGCATGCCCAAGTTCTGCTGAACTATTGCTATTTGCTGAGATTCCAGATTCCTGGCGGCAAACAGCGGGCTTTCTGCTCGCGCCAAGAGAAATAAGGACTTAACGATGCCCACATTTAGGGGTAGAGTAAAACGATATTGTTCTTTCCGGCTTCAAGTTGACGCTCGGGTGGAATGTGGTCGCGGGATTAACGAGAGCCGAAAATAATGGAAGATTTGGCTAAGGATCTGACGCTGCAATCCTGCAATCATTTAAGCAAATACACCTTGAGAAATCTTCTAAGCTTGCTTTTCTCTTTCGGAATCAATGGAGTTGAGAAAGTGCACTGTCATATATAGATTGAAATATTATATTTGCTTGCACTTTATTCACGTTCGATCGCACTATTCCTTTCTGTCTTCCTACACTCCACGAATTCTTACTATAGTTACCGTGGTTTCTTGAGCGGAGGTTTAAGCCCAGCCGTAAAATCCATTTCCGTCAGAGACTCTGTTTCACATTTTATACGGACGGCAAGAAGTCTTAAGTTGTCGCGCGTTATGGACAGGGACAACCTCAGAGCCCAATGGCTCTAATGACTTTTCTCTCCCCACGTAACAAGATCAGCCTTGTCTAAGTGATCTCGTAGTGTCTCAAATGCCGCAATTGCACACTGTTTGAAATGAATGTACATGTATGTGTCTCCAAAATTACTCCGACCGCCGTGACTCAATACCACCTCATTACCGGTTTTTGCCGAGGCAAGTGATGGCTTAACATCTTTAGCCGGTGGGAGATGTAATTAAAAAGGGCACTTGCCTTGAAGCTAATTTGAAATTTAGATACGGACAGCTATTACGCTGTAGCAAACACACAGAAATCAACTTCCATCAGTGATTATCTGCACTTAGGTGATTCGACGCTTCTTGGTAACTGTCGCTAAAGGGAAAATGCGATCGGAAACATTTCATTTATCGCTAGCGGGAAACAGCTGCGAAAAATCAGCCACATGAGGTATGTATCTCGGATGCAACAACTCTGTTGCGTCGTTATAAAAAATGCAACAACACCTTTTCGTAGATTATTTAGAAGAACACGACACATCTCCGTTGGTGACCCTATGATCGTATTTAGATGATCAAATTCGAAACAAATGTATGTCCACATTATTTATATCCGTTGCCATGCATAAACATGTCCAGTGACAGGTAAACGGAGTTTCGAATGTGTGACCTTAAAGTAACACCAAACGCCATTGATTGATATAATGCCACTCGGTTAGCAACATCGACTGCAATGGCCCACCACCCGAACGTTGACTACCTAACAAGACATAGAAATAAGGTACCCGGCAATACATTTCACATAAACATGACATTATTCAGACGTGACGACATCATCCGTGCATGAAAATTTCTCAAATGTACTCGGGACCACGAACGATGTTGAAAGAGCCATTCGTGTCCAGTGCAGTGCTCGTGCAATCAGCTCACAAACTCGGGTGGTTACTCAAAGTTTGGAAATTAAACACGGTTTGTGAGAGTAAAAATCCACGCAAGTTCGCTGCTTCGAGCATCGTTTCAAAGTGATCAGTGGGGAACACTTGGACAGGTTGCAAATCAGTGGGACTTCACAGGCCTCAGTGAAGTCCCGCTGAATGGCTTATTAGGAGAGGTAATTAATAACAGTTGATATATACTTCTGTGAAGCTGTACTTTTTGACCCCATTCTTAAATATTTCGACTACAGACCCTGTATGAGGTCTGGTAAAGATACAGGTAGGCCCTATGCTCACAAGCCTGTTCCTGGCAGAGGTCACACTTGGGCTTGACCCTGAACATTATGTTGGAATTGCATTGATTCCCAAGGTGTTAGTGGAGACACGACGCTACTAGAGAGTCTTTGTACACAGCGGGAGTGCCAGGGCATTCCTCTTAACGGCAACAGTGATGTGTCATCACTTGGCTATATATGTCATAATTAGGCTTGATGAAGGGGGTTCTTGCCTGCATCGCCGACAAAAAGCCACCTCCGCTGGACTTAGCTTTAACTTCACGCTGAGGCGAGGAGTTGACCGCGGATAAGTGTCGTTAGGTGCCATGCGCTGGCACGCGGCTTGCTGTTTATTTTCAGTTCTAGTTGCGATTGTGCTGACGTAAACAAAACAGTCTCTTCTCACTGTGGTCTCGCGGGTAATTTTCTTTGGAATCATCTGAATGTCTTCGCCGATATCATCCTTTTCTTAAACACCGAAATGATCACTCTGGTCTACTCGGAAGCTGCCATTATTGTGTCTCCATTTAAAGATGCGTAATCGTCGACTGCGATGACAAACGAAGGAATGTCAAGCGTATTTGCCCAGCTATCTTTTCTTGGGAGCGTTGCGCGGACGTAAAGCAAGATTGAGTAACATTTCAGGGAACAGCTAAACACTACGAGAGGCAGAGGATCGGAACAGGCAACATTCACATTCGATGAAATGAGAGTTGGATTCCGTGGAGTTGGTGTGATCGCTGAGGCCAGCGAGGGTTGAGACCCCGACGATCTAAAGTATATTAGCTTCTTTTTCACGATGAGCAGGACGGAAACTCGTCGGCACAAACATGCATAATCACAGGAAAATGCGACGCACTTGAACTAACAATGGCGCCCGGAAGCAATCCTTCGTTGCTTAGTTTACTCGCCCGGGTACCAATGGCCGGCTTTATTCGTTCACCGAATGGCTGCGGGCGGCATAACCACCGCCACTTCATTCAGTCACCCAGGCAGTAATGCCGAGGTGTTCAAAACCCACCTTGTCGTATCACGTTCCAAGACTAGGGGACGCCGCCGTTAAATGAATGCATAGCAATTCACTCGGGAGGTTCCGTCAGCACTTGGGGAAAAATCCAATCAGCATATTAAAGTAATGATCACAGTCAACAAGTGTGTTTGTTTCTAATTAAATATTAGAGCTGAAGTGATCGCGAGAAAAAGTCGCATTTTACTTCGACTTATGCTTTGCCGGTGGTGCTTTATGCAAGTCAATCAAAAAAGCAAAGGAGGTTAAGGCTCGAATCATTCAGCTTTTGGGCCTGAGACCATATAGAAGTCAGTATATGAAGCCTGAGACGTTTTCGCAAAGAAAAATCTAAAACGCTACGAAAAATGCTTCGGTGTGAAAAGACAGCCCCACCCGTACAATGGCTGATTCAAATTTCATCTTTAGAAGGAAGAACGAATCGTAAAGCAGCGAATCCACGTTTGTAAGTCGTCCTCGTTGCGGTCTTAGCTCTGGGCTTCTTTGACCAATTCTGAGAACCAACTAACCTGTATTGTTTATTTAGCAAACACTGAATACGTTATACCTTGTCTTCGTTTGGGGCTGCCGCGTCTCTCTTAATTACAGCTGGCATACCCGGGGATCTTGTTCCCGTTCAAGTCTGTTTACCATTATTCTCATCCGAGTTGTGAGCCCTGTGATACGTTCAGACATCTCACTATCGGATTTCCTCAGCCACTGTCATTTAGGATGACTGTTAATTTAAACGTTGTCGTTATGCACTGAGGAAAGTCATTCTCGCACACAGTGGTCAATTACTTCGCGAACTGACAAGACTTTTTACAACGGACGGTTCCACGCCGCGGTGCCTTAAGATGCTTTTTAGCGGGAAGCTTTTTATATCATGTATCATTGAACTTTGACGACAGGGTTACCCAGGAAACACATGTCCCGTCCCGAGCTAACCGATAAGAATGGCAATGCTCGGGTTTTTCATTAAGACAAACGATCCAGTGAAAGTTGAACCTAGGATAAGGGTTACTTTTATGTCTTGTATCATTGAACTTTGGCGACGGGGTTACCCAGGAAACACATGTCCCGTCCCGAGCTAACCGATAAGCACTGCAATGCTCGGGTTTTCGAACAAACGAGCCAGTGAAAGTTGAGCCTTCTAAATGTCTTCAGAAAACACCGACTGCTGCCTAAATTGTGGCCCAGTTTCCCGGTCTATTGGGATATGCAGTCTCTCAGATTATAGTAGAGACGCTTGTAAAAATATGGCGGTAATAATAATGTTTGGCATTTGGTTAAGAATATGCTGTCCAACTTGAAGATAAACAAGGCATCCTGGGATGTTTACTCTTTGAGTGCGGTATATTGCTTACAGGGCGAGGCGAGGTGCAGTTTCGCCGGGAAACGGCGCAGCGTGCAGCATTTCTATAAATGTCAAGTATTTTCTCAGACTTGTTTACTAAAGAATGTAAGGATACTTCACTTCTGGTTTGTGTCCGGGAGGTGGTGTGCTCTATGCCTTTTCTTACCAGACATGATGAATACAACACCTATGTGGAAGAGGGACTTTACATATGCTTATGAAGCATTGCTCTTGACTAACATTATTTCCTTTGGCGATCATTTTTAGGTTCACCTGGTTTGGGGACAATGTGGGGGATGGACATCGAGTATTAACGGAAACAGACAGCGTGGATTCCATATCTGCTGCCACCAAGTGATTCACACATTGCTTCCCCGCGTGGCACCACAAAACTATCGCTCCTGGTGTGGACGGGTTTTAAAGGTAGGTTACACCATTGGTGAAATTACAACATGGCACTGCCAAATAACCCTTAAATATCTTTCTTGGAGGAAAGTAATAACTTTGCTGAATATCTCTTTCTAGAATGTTGTTGTTTTCTAGAAAACAGAAATTAGTTTTGATCTAGGTATACCTTTTGTTTTACGGTTAATGGGAAAGAAAACCTGTTCATTTGTGGATTGATCCCACATGTGCGTTCACTCACTCAGAAAGCCCTGTAGTCCATGAACGTTGCACAGGAAGAATTACAGGATCTGCGATTTGAGCGTCGAAACGATTTTTCCGATGTTTCCCCGTCAAAGCATTTAACTCAATACATGAAACAAACTAGTGGAATGAAAGTTGCAGTAGAGTTTATACCCAAGAACCTACCAATCTTGTAACATTAAAGCAAAAACCGAGTCATGTATTTTACCTTTACAGCATACACACTGGACGACTGCTTGTCACGAAAGCACGTGACAATCGCGTTGTCTAGTTGGCCTTGGAGCGTTAATGTCGGGGTTCCACGTCTAGTTGTGTGCTTTCCCCGATTGTGCTAGGTGGAAAACCTTATACAGAGGAAGTATAATTATATTTATCTGTCTCCATTGTCGCCGTGTTCTCTCCCCCTGTGATCCTGGAAAATTAGGGCGGCTGTTGTAGTCAGCGAGATGGCGTGGTACTCATTGCTGTTCCCCGTATTGTCTTATTTATCTTGTTAGACCTGAATACGTATCAGATGTCATTCATCTAAAGAACAAGGTATAGGCGTCTGAGAAAATATCCCAGTTTGTCAGTCATGCGGAGGTAATTTACCTCCTGACCGGCTGAGGCTTCTGTAGCCTTTATTCCAGCAGTTTCTTTAAAAACTCCTTCAGTTTGCATTTCAACGAAAAACACAAGTATGGCACCCGGGACATGCTTTGGTCACACATTTTTTTGCAGTAAAAGGAGACTCGTAGATTACATTTTCCCAATTCTTTCTGAATAAATCCGATGAAAACCCTCTCAGGCAGGCTGTAATTTCCTTTTCTGGGGGGGAGTCCTTTTGGGGGGTTAAGAATCCTTCCACACATGCAACGACAACGCTAGCCAAAGCATTAACATTCCTTGCTATTGCAAGAAACTGGGCAAAAACGTGTCGGGATTATGATGTGTCTTGCATACGCATGACCACCCGCAGTAGCAAAGCTTGGTTTCTCTAATCTTCGATAATTATATTCTCAAAATGTACCGTTGATTTGTATTTCAACTATGTTTACCTCTCTCTTTTGCACCAAACTCAAATAAAATGCTAGGCACAACCTTCGATTTTAAGACTTGCATGTATTTGCCAAAATAAAAATGACTCCATGGAAAATTGTTTAATAAAATACACAAACGAGACACATATAAACGTGGGAAGTGAGAGATCTTGACTTTTCAAGACCAACGCGGGGGTAACCATTTATGAATCGATCAAACAGAGTTTGAAAATGTTCAGGAAATTGTACAACCTTCAATAAGCCTTTTCAACAATATAGTGTGATGAAATTTAGTCCGAAATTCAATAACGGGCACCAGTGGACTGTTCAGCGCGCCGTGCACAGCTCACTTGGACGTAGCACACAATATATCAGAAAATCCCAAACTATCATTGGATTTAATTGAAGTTATTCAATTCTAATAAATTATCATTTTCTCTACCGCAACTTTGCAGTGGGTCCGTAAACTCTGGATTGACGAAAGGAAATGTTCAGAGTGAAGATGAATTTTTATTTAGGTTTGTAGGACACTTGGTATGTTTTGATCCCTGATAATGTTTAAAATGGTGATTTTCCGCTCCGAAGAATTGGATGAAATGGTCAGAAATCACTTGAATCGCTCAACAGAAGGTCTGTAAAAGCAAGAATATTTTGGGATCTTAAAGCAGATGCTGAATTCCACGCTGCTGAGGCTTAGCGCTTTCATCTTTCTCAGTACGGTGCTGTCGATAAATTATTTGCATTCCACAGTGCCGAAAAGTCTCAGTGGGTCCGAGTTGGTTATGAGTCCGAGTTAGCATGGCTCCCAGTTAGTTTGGGTCCAAGTTGGCATGGGTCCGAGTTGGCGCGGGTCAGAGTTGACCTTATCCCCTTCGGTACAGGTATCAGTGGTGGCAATCCGGCGTAGCTAGTGGAGGAATTAAGGATGACCATGATGAGGAAGTACATAGTGAGCATACTTGCGTGCTGGACCATTTGAAACAGAGGGATGGTGCACAGTTGTCGACGTAATTTCACGAGTGTAATGACAGTCTGGTTCCCCGACCTGACACTCACATGACTTCCCTTTCCTTTACCCTTTCTTCTCCAGTCTTTCCCACAGCGTCATGATTTTGCCAACAAAACTGACTAATACAGGGATCTGACACTCCATACAAACCTCCAGCAACCCCTGTGCAGACGTGGCATACTCAGTGTGGACCTCTGTGCAAAACAAGCCTACATAATGTAGGGTGCGATGGCGTTATGTGTGCCTGGGTGTTTAAAACAAGTTTAAACCAGGGGACGCGGTGATAAAGTTTTTGTTTCGTTTTTGCTGTTATTTTGTTCATAGAGAGTTAAGAATAACAGGGCACTGTTTACCGAGGTAAACAGGCACCTAAAATCCACAGTGGATGTCTCTCTCCACCGAAAAGTGGAGTGATGATCCATTGGCCAATCACCCGGCCATCACGTATGTTTACTCCCCTCCACGTTAGTTTGGCTTATTAATCCGGGCCGAACACTGAATGCCAGCACTGCTCGTTTGATGGAAACGAGATGTCTGACGTAATTCCTTTATTATTCAGTCATTTAATGCAGCAGTAACCTTTTTTTGAGCCATGAAATTCGTTGATTTCCTCTGTTCCTGTAAAAAAACAACAAAACATGATATTCTAGCATCCGGAGTTGTCCCAAGAATTTGAAACACATAAAGGTGAAGCGGCGCTGAACTAAAGGCCATCCTGATGATCATTAGCTTGCTTCGTCTTTTAAGCCAGATTCAAGAACTTAAATTTGGTTCACGCTGCTATTCTATTCACAGCACAGCAAGTCATTACATAACTGAAAGTCGAGTTGATATTCGAATAGTATAGAATTCAGTAGAGTTAAATGGTATCGATAAAAATTGTTTTATGCTGTATCAAGGATCGAGACTGGTTTCTGTGAACACTAAATGATGATGTTGCATGAAATGACTTGGTGTCACTTTTTAAAAAATGCACCACTTTCGCTTTATCGTGCTTATCATGAATAATGTCCTTTGTAAATCTATTGATAGGGCATATCTCCAGAAAAACTTCTGTAAGAAATATTTTCAACAGTTTACACGGCTATGTATGCTATGTTGGCAACACGCCGTGCGGCGTCTCCAAGTTCTCCAAGTGAGAATACAACATCCACTAGTGCTGAACACTGGCTAAGGCTCTTCACCGTTCCATAAAAAAAAATGAAGTTGTAGTCATAGGAGAGGCGGCTAGAACGCGGCTCGCCCGTCAGGCGCTACCCCACTAACCCGTGTATTAACTCAGTGGTGTACCGGCAGCGATGGGTGAACATACGTGCCGTGAGGGAGGCTGGCTGTGTACTACATGCATTTGTACCCCGCCCCCTTCATTCCTACCTTAATGACTGCCATGGACCATATTGTCTTTCTACTCTTCGGGTTGTACTGAGTCCCATACGTGGGCTGGAGAAACAGTGCAGGGTAATCTTACCTTTTCTTAGACGTTTGAACCTGCCCTTTTCCACAGATAAGACACTATCGAAGGATCGATGTGTTTCTGCAACGGGTACCACTTTATTAGAAAGGGAGGCGAGTAGGATTAAAGATAACAACTCAAGCTCCCAGCGTGTAGGGTATCGAAGTGTGAATTTCCTTTGCAGTGGTCTTTTTAAAGACCAATCTTGTGTGCTTTTGCGAAAAAAGAGTTGAGAAATAACGTATGGTAGGAAATGAAAAAAGTCTTTTTTAAGAGAAAAATAATTGAGTATGGGAAAGGCTGTTGACTTTGTAGATTAAATGGGTTTCACCCAAAATGTCTGTTTTTTGAATGAGCCCGGAGTTGAAATAAGGAACGAGGTATCTTTTGGGTCGAAATGATTTTGAAAGTGCCTTGTTCTTCATCACTGTTATGGTTATTCCTGAAACCCAAAACATGTACTGATGACATTTAGCATAGATGATTTTGTTTTTGCTATTTTCTGCCAATTGCAGAATCCGTGTAATTAAACTCTGCTCAATACGTGGGTGCTCATTTACCTAGCTGCTCTATACGCTGCAGTAAAACTTATGGCCAAAATCTGTCGACCCAATGCACGTTTGGAAAGGGTCAACAGATGTCGCGCATTGTGATTGGCCAACGCGCTGCAAACTCTTGGAGACGCACTATTGTGAATCGCCCACATTGTGAAGAAACTGACTGCAGGTAAATGTTGAAATATTCTAAGGAACTTTGCTATGCCCAAGATCGCCAGATGTTTGTTACTTTGTTACCGGATGAAAGCTTGATTTTTCTTTCCCACGAGAGTAGCCTACTCGTCCCTACGAAGGCGAGATTTCACAGTGGCCAAACAACCATAACAAACACAAGACAATGTCATAAAAAAATTTTTTAAAAGGGAAAACAAATATGGCAACCCACGGGCTGAAAAAAACAAGATAATGTAAATACAGGGACTCATACCAAATCAGATGGTCTCCCCCCCCCCCATTTTTAAGGGTTCCTTCACTTAACTTATTCGGATGCGCGAAAGAATAAGTCCTAACCCTTTTCACTAATAAAATGATTTAAGCAGGTTTCACCAACCAAAGAATCTGCCATTTTTCATAGCTACTCCAGATGGCACTTCCAGTTATAATGTTACCCATTTAATCACCCACGGCGGACCCATATAAAGGTTGATCCGCTGTGGCATGAATGCGTACTGCTCGTTCAAACCTCGGGGCATCGCACGCCTGAACGTTTATTTACTCCATAAGCATACATAAGGCCC